TTAAAGAAATATTATAAGAAAAAGAAGTAGTTAAAAAACCAAAATATTAATTGCAAAAGCAGATAAAATTAAAGCTACAATATTTAATAATTAATTCAGTAATAAGTAAATTGGCTAAAAGGCACATTAATAAGGACAGTTACGCTAGATTTCGCGCGCGTGATGAACTTACTTATTTAATCCGAGAATAGTCTGCACTGAGCGTTTTTATATCCCAGTAGAGAAAAAGTAAATTGTAAAATATTGTTATTTAATATGGATGTTACTTAATATATTTCCTTTCTTTTTTAACAACTTTTCTTGTCAAATCTTAAAATATGAAATTCTATCGAAAACCCGCAATAAATTAAGAAATGTTATATTAATTAAAAGTTCTATTTTTAAGAAATACTATCAGCTACTTAATGTATTTATTCCATTTAATATTGGTTTGGTTTCTACTTATATTTTTTTCCAAAATTGTGATTAAATCCATATTTATAATATTCTTAAAATAAATTTAAAAACAATCAATATGCAATATGTTATTAATAATAATAATAATAATAATAATTATTATTATTATTAACAACATATGGGATGTACTTTTACATGGGGTATAAAAGTACCTCGGGTAATCGTTTACTTAAATAAAATCAGACAACTATTCTCGAGTAAATTTACTTCTTTCTTCTTTTCAAAGCTTTTTAATTGCTCTTTGACAACAACTTTGACGACTTTCGAAAATTATTTTGTAATTCACAGATTCGATATGTAGATAGCAGATCAAAGAAAACGACGCAGCTGTCATTGCAGAGCAAAGAAACCAACGTGGTAAATTTTATGCGGCTACTGGTGATGAGATTGGTCTTTGGGGTAGCTTCGGCGATGGGGTTAGGTGAAAATCTCTCGGGTGTACTCGGTGGAATTTTCGTGCCGCCCGGAGCTGAAGAGTACAATGAGGACTACGGAGATGATGATTTAATTGTACCTGATATTTTCTAAAGTAGATATTTTTCATAGTCCGATCGCGCATCTTCGACGTGTTTGACAGCACGACTCTGCCTGAAGTAACAAAATTCAGAAAATATTAACTTTGACGCATTTATTGTGAAAAACTGTTTTTTCTTGATTATACACGTATTTTATTGCTATAGTATTAATATTTATATATATATTGGCTGATAAATTTTATATGTAAGTAAAAATTGAAACATTGAGAAGATATTATGTACAACCAAATGTACACACACGCGCGCGCGCGTGTGTGTGTGTGTGTGTGTGTGTTTAGTAATTTAACGGACTTTGCATAAAAAAGTATGGACGAGAAAATTAAATTTATTGACTCTGTTGAAAAAGTAGGGAACAAAATGTTTTTAATCCTGTATGTATTACAATAATGTCGAATATAAAATATTAATGATGAATCTCGCTTGAGAAATAATAATCGGATCATTTAGCCGTAATCGGATTATTTAGCCGTTAGAATCTGTCGATCTTGTGCGAGAGGCTTCTTAGATTTTATGTACCGTTATTTGTCATAATTTTGGTAAAGTAATGGATGTGCACCGATTACTACAGGTAAAGATATGAGTAGCAAATCGCTTATTTCCGCTTTCTGTTTATCTCTTAGCAAGTGAATGTAACTATCAATTCCATTGGTTCTGATCCAGTGAAATTAGCATCTGCTATAATTAATTTCATGTCGCGATTAAAGTTTTTATATAAATGATAAATTGATTCGTTATCTTTCGAAAGTGTTGTGAAATCAGTCTCAGATATTTTGATAAAATTATGATTATTGTTTTAGTTCAATTTGCTGTTTGTTAAAATGGCTTGGGATGCAGAACTGGATTTATACTATACTATACTTTCGAAATAACTTAAACATTTAAGGTAGTACTAGCGCGATAATACCGTTCAAAAGTTTTTAGTCCTGTCGCGGCACTCTCGGTGGCGATACCTTACTCCCGCCAGAGAAAGAAAACTTTTAATTGTTCCTGTCCAAAGCCACACGCACACGTGGAAAGAAAATGAATACAGAGATAGACCCATACTAACGCCGGTGATGTCAAATGTTCGCTGGCTGTCTCCTCTACTTTGCATCACTCCCTTCAGTTGCCAAAGAAAATCGAAACATTGCGTTTTTTTTGCGACTCTATTTTCCTAACCAAATGATCAAATATTATGATCTTTTTTTTTTACAATATCCGTTTCATGTTCCTTCATCGGGTGCTCATTTTTTGTAACAATCCTAAGGATGGTATGCTATAATTAAAAATCTGACGTTAACTTGAGTTACGTATATGCTTCATATGTTAAAATTGCATATTTTGATTGCAATTATCTCAAAAACTAGATGGTCAATATGTTTCTAATTGCACACAAACTTACTTGTATGCCAAATTTTAGCATATTTGTAAGAAAATCATTTTATGCTAGTACTACCTTAACAAAAATTAATGAAGTGATGGTTGCCATAATCACTGTAAAAACTTGTAATTATGAAAAACATTCATTTTATTTACTGATAAATGAAATAGAAAACGGTGTCGATCATTATTATTAATAGAAAAGTGTTATTATTATTCATTAGGGAATAATTTTAGTCTAAAATTGCACACATACATTGTTAGATGAAGAAAACAAAGCCATTTTGCGACACAGAATTGCATCTTACGCAATTATTTCAGTCGCCCAATAGTTAATTAAAATTTATATATACATATATGTATACGGTGTGTGTATCTGAAATAACACCCACTAATCATATAGTGCTATTCCTAATAAAAAAACCGAGTCAAAAAGTCCTCTATCATTTTGCAATTTTCGCAATATTTTTTTTTAATTACCCAATGAGCAAAATGTCTAAAACGTATAAGACACCTTTAAGATATTTTTAAGAGTTCTCTCTCTCTTTAAGAAACATCTTCAAAATATTTCACAAAGGACAATGAAAGATATCTTAAAATTGTCTCATACATCGATTTTATTCGTTTATTTGGCAATCTTTAGAAATTAATATCTCGTTAACTATTACGAAAATTGCAAAATGATAGAGGACTTCTCGACACAGTTTTTTATTAGAAATAGCACTATATGATTAATGAGCGTTATTTAAGATACACGCCGTATATATACATATTACTATACAAAGTATAGGCATTTAAAACAGCCCAGGCAGCAAGCTGTCGTTATTTTGACATCAATAGTTAATCATTTTAAATTATTGCCGTCATGTGACCTATTTAAGATGTAATAATGACGTCATCTTTTTGACTAATTAATGACGCCATTTATTTATGATGTCTTTACAATGTCATACTTACTGACGTCGAATAAATGGCCAATTATCGACGTACTAGTAACATTATTAGTGATCAATTAATAACGTCATACATTTATTCCGTTAATAACACGAAAATAATTATGTATTTTTGATGTCAGTTTATGACATTGTGTGAGTGATAAGAAATATAAGAATTCACGTCATTTTTACGATGTTTAGACGTCAAGGAACTTATTAAAATAAGGTGGAAATTACAAAAGTAATTGAATTTACTAGAATATTTGTAACTTCAACACCTAGCAAATTTGTTCATTTTTGTAATTTTCACTTCGTCTCAGGAACCGTATAGATTCATCATAAGAATAACTAATTAATGACGCCAAATGGACGACTTGCTATCGTTAATAACACGAAAAAAATGACGTATTTTTGACGTCGACTTATGACGTTATGTACCTGTGACAAATCCACGTCATTTTTACGATGTTTGGATGTCATTTTAAACGTCACATTCGTCATAAGAATGACTAATTAATGACGTTAAATAGATGACACTTTGTTACCTGGGAGGTCATCTGAATAACTCGTTTGTTTTTAACAATGCAGTGGAACTTTCCTACTATATACTCTGTAACTTTTTCATTTCCTAGAATAATAGAAACGACAACAGTTACGAGCAAGTATATAAAGATGAAGACATGCTTAAAGCTATATATTTTCTTAGAAATACAATTTGATTTACGTTTCGACTTCATAGTAACAGTTCAGCGTAGTGTGTGCTAATTACGTAGTAAACCGAACCACCGAATAAAAATCATTGATGCATCCATCATGGTTATAGAAACTTATATCATATGTTATTCAAATTAGCGTCGGTTCACGTTATACATATTTAAAAAAACGATATCAAGCACACGAATAACAATTTCCTTCCATATGAACGATACGGATGACACAGATCTATGAGATCAAGACGTGCATAGAGGGGCGATTTAGAAAAAAATTGATCAAAATTGAATATTCCAATTTTTTGTTAGAAACCTCAGAAGAAATATAAATATATAATTATTCTTATACATGTAATCGTAGTAAAATAATGCATTCGTCTTTTAACCCGGGAGTGGTCGCGCTATGGTCATTTTGCCGTACACTTCCGTTCTATTTATATCTTTCAATTTATTGGCACTATTATATTTTTACCTTTACGTAAATGTTTGTTAATGTTTTTTCATATAGTATGCGAAAATAGATGACGTAAACACGCTTATATCTACATAAAATTTGATGTGTTTGGAACGGTCGGTCTACAAGACCATAGCGCACGCATGGCGCACTTACGTTAGTCTTCTTTTTCCTCTTTTATTGACTCTCGTCGAATTGTTCTTCCTGTCGAATTGTTCACCTTATTACCTTTAAGAATTCAATTATAATATTTAATTACAAAATAAAGTATTGATAATGACCAATTATCAATACTTTACTGAACAAATCGACAGGAAGGAGAAGTTATTTACTTATTATTTTATAATATTTTTGAGAGGAATAGGGGTGCAAAAAAATATACATATATTCAATCTTTTCGACATGTTGTATACAATTGTATATATTATTTAATTGCAAAGTGCGGAATGACTGCGTTAAATTGAAACATGTTGGAGATGGAAGAATATATATATATACACACGCACATATATATATATATATATATATATATATAATAGAAGGTGTGATAACTTAGATTACTGATTTGAAGTACAAGGTAAAAAATTCGTATTTATTATATTTTAGATAATTATAAGATCTTATTTATATGATTAAATGTTATCATTATTGGAAAAATTAATATCAATTTCTTCAAGATCTTGATAACAACCGTTCTTTTTTCTTATAAGGTCTCCCCAGAGGACATTAGACTTGCACATAGGGCAAATACCCTCGATTGGCAAGATCATATCATCTTTACAAAATTCTTTTGCTAAACAGATTAAGTGAACAATCAAAAGACATTTTGGTTTTACACAAGTGACAGAATCTTTCTCTATCATACTCGAGTTGCAAAGAGAACAAAACATTAATGATTTTTTCATTGACAATTGTGATTCTTGTGATAGAATATTATCTTCATTTGTTTTTTGTGTTTGTTTAACTTTACAACTAGTGACTTTGCTATAGCATATGGGCATGTGTAACGGTGGAGATATGTATTCGTAATAATTTTTTGAAAATTGATAGTCCAACCATCGTATAGTTAAAGGTAGACGACACCAAGGCCCAATTTTTAACATCTCACAGAGGACTATCAATCGAAAATCAAGTACCTTCTGTGATGACTTCTTCCTAGGAACGTGTTTTAGTCGCCTACTTACATCTGGATGTTGCCAAGCCCATTCGAACTAAAACAATCAAAGTAATGTTTATGTGATATAAAAAAAATTAATTTATTTTAAAAATTACACAATTTGTTTTTCTTAAAAAAATATATATTTGCTCAAAACTTACTCTAAGTGCAGAAGTGCTGTTGGGAAATCCATGAACAATCAAGATCATGTTCCTGAATATGATAATTTTATAGGAAATTAGAATATACATATAAAATATCTATTTCATTGTTTACATCATTTATATAACTATATACAGGGTGTCTCTACAGTGCCAAAACTGCTACAATGACTTTCGAGAAGCCGCTGTATCAGTTTGGCACTGTATGCAGAAACACCATATGTGTGTACGATATACAGGGCGTTCCAGAAATATATGGCCAAACTTTAGTATCGTATTCTATCCATAAGGATTGAAAAATGTCATATAAATGCAGATCCGGAAATTCTTCCTTTTTGAGATATAAACATTTTTTGTTTATCTCAAAAGTTATATGAAAACAGATATTACATGAAGTAAATGTTGTGTAGATGAGTATAAGTAATACTGTCATGGAAGGCAGCTTATCGTAATAAATTAGTTTTTATCTAAACATTGCATGATTAAGATAATGTTAGATGATTTATTCAAATATTGAGGCAGCAGATATATTCGTTTCATATATGGATAAGCTAACGGAAACTTCAGAGAAGCACGGTAGTTGTATTGTAAACCACAAGGTAGTTATTTTCAGCAATTTCTTCAAATAAATTACAAACCTTTAAAATATTTTCTCATAAACAAAAAGTGTTTATATATTTTAAAAAGGAAAAATTTCTGGACCTATGTTTATATGACCTTTTTTATCCTTAGGAACAGTAGAATATGATACTGAAGTTTGGCCACCTATTTCTAGGACACTGTGTGGGTGTGTGTGTAATAGAATTCTTAATTACCATGGTCCTCTGTTACTAGTTTTCCATGCTCCACCATGCTTCTTACCAGCATTATGTTGTTTAATTCTACGTCTTGGGTCCACAGTGTAACCTATATAAGTTCTTCCCTTATATTTTGGATTCATACAATATAATAAATACACTCCAAAAAAATGTTCTATCACTTCAGGCTCTTCTTCCATCATTGAGCATTTAAAATTTTTATATATGGAATCGTATCACGGTATGCAAGATTGGTAAATGTTAAAGAGCCCCTCCATCTTAAATTTCGATCAAAATACACTGAATAATGCGTTTTCGTGTAAAAATAAAGATTTGACAAGAAAAAAAGATAATTATTTATGGTGAATTCGATCACTTGCACTACAATGGATCAGTGCATATTACCTAAAAGCTGCTTTATATAAAATATTTCAATTCAGTGATACAATATAATCAACTTTGATAATAAAATGATAATAAACTTTGACAATAAAATGATACACATATATTTTGTTAAATAACGTGACAATATCATTAGCAGATAGTTTAAAATATTTACGTACTTTTATATTTAACTTTGCTAATGTTATGTAAAGCAGTTTCTGCAGTTTTCAGTATGCACTGATCTAGTATAGTGCAAGTGATCGAATTTGCTATTAGCATAGCTACCTCATCTCCGATTTTAATGAAATTAAGCTCGTCAACGCGTTTTCACTTAAAACGAAAGAATCCGGCAGAAAATTGCTGCGGTCGGCCTCGCGAATCGAGATATTAAGCGTTGAAATTGATGATTATTGAGGTTAGAAAATCTGTCAACCGCAAAATACTGCGATCAGGGCCCCTATTCTTGGGCTACGTTCCAAACTTCCTCTGAGAAAAATTTTACTCGAAATATATAGTACACGTGACGTATACTATACCACATAGAGTAGGGCTACGTTCCAAAACTTCCTCTTCGAGGAAGATTTTACTTTATATGCTTTAGTATATATATATGCGTTACGTGTACTATCTATTTCGAGTAAAATTTCCCTCGGAGAAGAAGTTTTGGAACATAGCTTAGAATCTTCCTCGGAGAGGAAGCATCGTAGACATTATTGGCCTTTAAAACGTCTTGAAAAGTATCTCATACGAAAAACTAGGGAAATGCTATAGTATATGTAACGCATCACAAGAGATCTAAACACATAGGTAAATGTATATATATATATACGATATCATCTTATTAGAGAAGCGATTTCTAATAAGTTGGTAAAGATAGAATAATAAGTAATAATAAGGCTCCACAAGTATAAAACAATTTAGAATAAATGAAGGGCTAAGAGCCATAATAATATAACAAAAAATTTTAATTTAATACATAAAAATAATTACACATACGTTTCGACACCGATCGGGTCATTCTCAATGTTACAGTAACTAAATTATTATCGAAAATCTATGTAGTTAACAGTATTCTTCTGTGTTATAATGTTGCCAGTTAACAAATTAGACATCGTTGAAAATTCTCGGCAATAAAACCGTAATAATCTTATTAGAAAAGAAGTCGAGAATATATAAATAAAAACGCAAAAAGATGAAGATCCACATCGTGGCTACAAAATTAATAACATAAAATAGACCAACTCTTCGTTGATTCTCGGCAGTGAAACTGTAATAGTCTAAAAGTAACTGATAAAGGCGAATTAATGCTAAATGCGTAAAATCAATAATATACAATATATAAAACTGTATCTTATTGAATAGTATATTGAACGTGTATAAATGAAAATAAACGTAAAAAGTGGTGATCCACGTCGTAGTAACAAACAGCTATTACTTTAAAAATTGGAGCAAATTTGCAAATGAAGTAACAACGAACAAGTCATTTCGACGATATCGGATAATGTAATGTCAGGAAGGAAAATACAAAACGGAAATCAATGATGACAAGAAGGGGGAGACAGGAGAACATTAGGAAGGGGAAAGAAAATATTTACAATCAACTGATATGCCAGCAGATATTTTTACTAAAGGAGAGTCCTGAAAAACATTACAAATTTCTAAATAGGCTGGGTATAAAAGTTTGTAATATTTAGATAGTGGGGATGAAATATAACCTAAATGGTGCAACTCTATGGTTGTTCGTGTGGTGCCACCTGTACTGGATATGTATGTTTCTACTTCACTTGTGAATAAAGTCTCGTACTGAATACTCAAGAAGCACGTTTATTTAACAATTTTTACCTTTGTCTATATATCTGTAGACTTAATTAATCGATCGGAAATTTCAGAGGAAGTTTCAAAATAAAAGTCATGCACAATCTTTTTTTGCCCTCCACAGTTGTATTTGGTGACCTAGATTACAACAATAAATCCAAAATATTTAGATATAACATCGATGTATACAAGATAATTCTCAATAGATTAGGTATCTATGTAAGATATACGTAGTATGTATATATATATATATATATATGTATAAGTATAGATGACACACACAATATAGCATGATTTCGTAATATTCGATACAATCGAACTAACAAATAACATTTAATAGTTGTTTTAGTTTAGACATCTTTTGCATTCATTTTATTTTATGCTCGGAGAATATTATATTGACATTTTTAAATATGTGTACAGATATACAATATCTGCTTCTGCTGTATCGTATTATTACACAATATTATAATAATAATACGTATCATAATATCGAGCGTCGCAAAATTTGCCCGAATTCTCTCAATGTTTCAATCTTCATTTAATCAATCACCTAATATCAGTGAAATTGAATTTCATCAAGTTAGTTGCTAAGAAGTAAGACCAAAATATCAATAACAAATCAGAAATCAAGGCTATCAAATAATTTTAAATTCGATATTTTGTACGTTGATTATAAAATCATCTATTAAATTGTCTGTTGAATAGGGAATTTGTAAAATGTTTCGATAAAATTTTAATTGATATTTTGTTTTACGAATAATTGATTATACATATCTAATTATGAATCGCGAATTGCATGATGTGGGATCAATAAAAAGTATTTAATTTGACTGATACAAATTAACGTAACAAATTTGTTTGTTAAAACTCAATTAAAAATCTACGATTACATCCGTAAGAAACAATTGCTACATTAAGAATATTTATGTTAAAACAAGAAAAGAACGATCACTCTTCTTGGAAACTTCAGATGCTTCGTATGCGCTTCGATCATCCTTAAAGCAATCCTTTTCGTTTTCGTGACTTCAAAGGAAAGAACGATGACGATGACCATGTGAGGTGATTTAAATAATCGTTCAATCTTATATTTCTAATGGTGTATCGAATATCTTTCTGGATCAACCTAATACGCATGATTAGCGACGAAAAGTGCCGCGTCTCCCGCAGCACCGGCCACGCCACCCGCGTATTTGCCAAGTGCCGATTCACTGTTAGCCTGTTGAAAAACAGAAAATGTATTTGCAATACTAATTGACACACACAGTTGATATATCTTTCTTGAGAAAGCTTAGAAAATTGTGAAAATGTCAAATAAACAAACAAAATCATTCTTCCAAACAAGAAAAGAATTTTAGGAAGTATACAATTGAATTCCGTATACAATTGATCGATCACAATCGAGAAACTGTCATTTTCATACGCAAAAATTATTCATATGTGCTCAAGAATAGGGCCCCAGTACAATGTATTACTTCGCAGCCATATTGAATTCTGACATCCTGGGCAATTTCTGATTGGCTTTTTACTTTAGACGACTGCGCATCTACGGGAATGGTTCACCTGTTTTTTTACATCATGATCTGGGTACTTATGGATTCATAAATGAAGCTGGAAACACAATAGGTAATAGGAACAAGAAACAGAATAACGAGTCATCCAATCAGAGCTCTGGGGTATTAATATCGAATAACGAGTCATCCAATCAGAGCTCTGGGGTATAATATCCCAAAGCTCTGATTGAACAGCTCGTTATTCTCTTTTTCTTGTTTCTATAGCCTATTGCGTTTCCAGCTTAAGAACTAATCGCTCGGTGAATAGGCTGCATTCCGAAACCCATTTAAAAAAATGTATTGGAATCATTTAGTTGCTGTACATACATCTAGAAAAAAATTCTTAAAACTTTACACATAAAATACATTCTATGTAAATTTATAAAATTAGCTTCTGTTAAAATTGTATTTTTAATACATATTTTGTCGGATAATAAAAGAGAGTGAATAAGAAAGAATTAAATTTAGAAAAATATACGTACGCATATATAAACAAAAGATGAAACAAATAATAACCCAGTACAATTCTCATCAAATATTCTTAAATGGATACATCAAACTTCATTTCGTATTTTTAAACAATTTTTATTTTGGTAAGTTATAATCGTTCAAAGTTTGGTAAATTTTTCTCCAATTTTTATTGTACCGTTTTTTTTTGGAAGTAAGTATATTTTCGTATTGTATAAAGAGAACAAAAGATGATTACTTAAAGATAAGAATCGATTTACGAAAAAAACCAATACGTACAACACACACACACACACACACATACGTACGTACATATTGTTTACTATGTACTTACTGCCACAAGAAACAGCCTGTGCGGAAAATATAATTTTTTTTTTAGTAGGTGTGAGTTTTGACGTAGAGAGAGATATCAGCGGCTTTGCTAGAAATGCTACCAGCGATGTATTTGCCTTGACAGGCTGCAGCGTTTGCCTAAACAAGCGTACATTACATAGACATGCAAAAGTAAGTATGCAGCTTTGCGTAGCTTCGAGTGTTCTGTGCGACTTAACACAACTACAGAATTACAAAACTATTTTTCTAAAAGAAAAGCTAGTGAGTATACACAAAAAATAAGGTAAAAGTGTAAAAATAATTCTAAACACAAATGTTAAAATAGCAAATCATCACTTAGGAAAATAAAACAGAAATCAAAGGCAGACAACTGGTAAATGATTATGTATAAATGCAAAAGGTAAATAAAAAACGAATAAAATAAGAATAGAGATGGAGCAAATTCAAGTTTACACATACAGTAAGAATAAATTAAATATTTATTAATTTCGTAGTACATTTTCACTTACCTTAGCTCTCTTAAGCAACTCCTCTTGTCCGGCAGCGACCTTGTCGATCTTGCCTTGCCAAGCACGAAGTACGGAAGCCTGAAGAGCACGTCCATAACTGAAAGTTAATGCCCAAGGTTTCTTCGCCGGGTATTTATTAATGGCATCAAGATTGACTGATGCCTCCTCCTCAGATTGACCACCGCTGAGAAAAGTGATGCCAGGTACCGCTGGTGGCACAGTACGCAACAGCGCTGTCACCGTAGCAGCACCGATTTGCTGAGGAGTCGCTTTCGTTGGACAGCTCTGACCTGGCGTCACCATGTTAGGCTTTAAAAGTGTTCCTTCGAGGTATACGTGGTGATCTGAGAGTGCCTAACAATAAATGCATATTGAAGCATATATTAATTATCTAATAATAAATTCAGGTAAAGGCAAAATTCACAATCTTTTTTTCTAACGGAAGCTTACGATACCTTGTAAACGGCCGCAAGAACCTCTTCTGTGACTTGTTGACAACGAGCGAGATCATGATCACCATCAGGAAGAATTTCAGGCTCTACGATGGGTACGATCCTGGCACTTTGACAGATTGAAGCATAACGGGCCAACACATTGGCGTTCTCCATGATGGCGAGTTTGCTCGGAGTATCTTTCGTGATCTTCAATACGCATCGCCACTTAGCGAAGTGACATCCGTCCTTTTTGTACTGGATACAACGCGTCTGAAGGTCGTCGAGACCCTGGGTCGTGCATTCGTTATTCGTACCGAAGAGCGGAACGACGCCCTTGTCGACTTTAATACCGGGGATGATGTTTCGTTGCTTCAGTAACTCTACGAACGGCGTACCGTCGTCGGCCTTTTGATACAGAGTCTCGTGAAAGAGGATCACTCCAG